ACATCATCAGGTAGATGCCAGTGTACTACTGGAAGTCCTTTTTCTTGGCTTGTACTTGTCTCACCTTCAGTTGGATTCCCTTGCTGCCAGCCTAGACCATACTATGGTTGCGGGTTCAACTCCTGCCTCTGCTAAGGAATGTGAGATAGAACAACATCCCACAACTGCATTACCAATAGGAGACCAGCTCACTTCTCCTCAGTCAAATGCCACTCTACAGAGCACAGTGGATGAATGTAGAGACCAAGCAGATGAGACCTCACATCCTCTACAGACAGTGATGCCTCTCAGCCTGTCTAAGCACACAGACACTTCAGGCCATAACTTCTTCCAGCCACTCATTGCTCACAATCTGCAGTCTCCTGGAAAATGTCATTCTCTCATTGACCAGCTGGGAATACCTTTGCTCGATAAGGTGCCTGAAGTCCACAGCCCTCCCCACCAATAGCCCCCCCGCACCAACCTACTACATGTCACCATCAATTACAACTTAATTTTGTTTAAAATTTGTTCATGAAACGTATCACTGGTGAAGCATTACTCTAGCACTTTTTGCCTCTCCCTAGTTGCCCTTGAGTTACCTTCTAGAATCACTGCAGTCTGTGTCATGTAAGTAGCTTTGCAGCCCTGTTAAGCAAGGAGTTGACCCAGCAACAGTGAAGGAACATCTATATAGTTCCAAATCAGCATGGTTTGTGAGTTAGTGCGGAATTTTCAGGTTATAGGCGATGGATGCATACAGCAAAGTTTGGAGCTCATTCCAGTAAGCTACAAAACACTTTCACGCTTTCAGCTTTATGCAGATCATACTATGCTTATTACAATTCCCACACTTGAGTGTCCAAGTCTCTCATAATATCTTTGTTTCACCACAATCTTTCATAAACATTGTCTCTTTACTCAAGACAAGCTTCATCATCTGATAGTGCAACTCCTATACTTTAATTTAACCTATTTTTCTAATCAACCTGTTCAAAGATGTTATTACACATCTCAGAAGCAGGTCAGACTTGAACCTGGATCTCCTGATTCAGAGGTAGGGACACTACCAGTGCTCCACTGGCTCTAAATGAGCTCCTATACAATTAGCCTGGCTTAAATCTGTGGTCCTATTTACTTTTACAATAGGATTAAAAAGTTAACAGTTAACTAACTGAAACTAATTCAACCTCTTCATACGTATAGCACATGGACCTCAGCTGTTCACAAAAGTGGTTCCCCCTCACTTATTCATGGGCGATTAGGGATGGTCAACAAATGCTGTCCTCATCACTTTAACAAAGAATTACAATCCTTTTGAATGTTAGCAAGCTTTTAGTTTTAACAGATAACTGTTTAAAAAATTGTACGTTTATCAATTCTTTAAAATATCATGTCATCAAGGAACAGCTAATCACATAGACACATGTTATAGAACCAGCAATTCCATATGCTTTCACATTACAGGGGAGCAAACTTATACCATGTGTTTTTGAAGTCGACAAAAATCCATGCAACAAATGAACATGAACATATGCAGAATGTGTTCAATATGACCACTTTAAATATGTGTACTTCAGAGTAAGAGATCCTGTTTAGTACACCGTGTGATCCTTATTATTTATGCAATGTTTTCGATTCTTGCTATTCCTGCAGTTAGAAGGAGTGTCATAGTTTATATAAAAGGCAATCTGCCATCTTTTAAATCTTGGTCATTTACTTAAATTTTTGCTAACTTAAATAGTATCCAATATTGAATGCAGGGCTGCTGATGTGAGTACAATAACATGCATTCACTCCTAAGACTTTACTCTGTCATAGTTGCTCCTGTGACATTTTTATTATTAAATATTTTCTCTTCTAATTACACCAAATTCCCTTCATCCCTCCTTTTCTAAACATAGCAGCTTCCTTTCTAGTTTTATTTGCACAGGTATCTTACTCAAGTGTCCATTATTTGGTTGTGAGGCTTGATGCTAAGTGCTCAGAGATCCATTGTGGATGGAGGGCAATCATAGCCAATTGTAAACTGTTCTCATCTGAAGCATCCCAGTGCTGTCAGTAATGGAAACACAACTCTGCACTGTCAATAATTGCTGTGAATGTGTAATCCTCTTGGATAATGTTACTTCTCCTGGTATTTTAATAAACCTGTCTCATTTTAAAAGAATTAAATACACAATACCATTCAAGTACGCTATGTTGTTGTGCATTAATACCAAATGTAGTAATTAGTAGGTTGTAGTCCAATAGTTCCCCAGATGCTTAGCTTTCAATTATCTATCGCTTGGTCTATTCACATGACCCATGGAATGACTCTCTCAGATTGTGCCTTTTCTGATCTGATTGCTACTCCCTGCTCTACTTAATCTCTTTTGCTCTTTTGAACCATGGTGGCTTCCTGTTCTTTGGGCCTAAGTTCCTTAACCTTAGTTTCTCAAATGCAAGCGAACATGAACATAACATTCATTACTCCCTGTTGCTCAAAGTATATCACAGCTACAGAGCTTGTTAACAGTATGTTCTCTCATATTGATGCCAGTTTCTTCCTTTATGGCCTTATTATTGTTGGCTCACCTCATAAAGGATCCAGGCATACAACAACTGACCTTCAAAACACACTTCATTCTTTGTGACTTCTTTCACTAATATCTGTAGTCGTTAGTCATTTTATAGCTCATACAGCTTGTTCACAGAGTGCAAACCCTCCAACACATTAAAAATTGTTGCAAAGATTGATGTATCAGCTCATTGAACTGAAAGTTTAGTAGCAGATTTTCATTCTTCAAGCCATCTGCCATCATTTTACTTTGACCCGTGAATACCACAAAGATCTTACCTCTCACTTGCTTCCCATTCTGTCATTCCCTTGTACTAATTTCTGTGATCCTCTGTAGATTTTTTTGCATTGACTTCCATCTTTGCAAATTCTGGCACCTTTCAAAACTTTTTATAAACTTCACACTTCTGTTGATTCTACCAGTCAACCATTTACATTTTGGTCTATGTATCTAACCTATTTTAGATCTTCATTTTTCTGTCCTTTTTCCATTTGGAAATGATTTTTAGAGTAAATTTCTAGTAACACTAATTCATGCTCTTCCATTGCATTGTTTTTATTCAATTTGAATGCAGCGTCAAGTTCGGCACAACATTGTGGGCCAAAGGACCCATTCCTGTGCTGTACTGTTCTATGTTAAGAAGTTTGAAGATACTGATATCTCATTTTGGAATCACAATTTGTCATGCAAACACATCACTGTGTTCAATGTGAAGGAGAAACTGAACTTGACTTTGATAGGATGTAAATTCATTAATAGACTGGACATACAGAAAGGCTATAAAAATTATTGCCTTTGTGACAAAATGAAAAAAATATGGAAAGGAAATACATGTAGAATTAGAACTCTGTAAAATGAGTGAAGGATCAAGTTTTTTTTTTTGCTCATATACACTTGTTTTTAAGGATTATGTATTAATTAAACTCTTCTTAAACCGAAATGCAGAATTTTTGTTTTTCACAAATAGGACTTCACAAAGCAAAGACAAAATTACAGATCTATAGAAATCATTTCAGTTCTCCGACATTAAAGAAAAAAACTTCCTGTGATTCCTTATGAAAGCAGGTATTGGAATTTGTATTCTCATCTCAAAAGTGTATAAGTACTTGGAGCTGTCAATCAAGCTGTGAAACAACAAGCACTAATCCCAATTATGAAATGTTGAGAAATCAATTCTGCAAGACTAATCCTGTAATAATAGCCCCCAGGCTATGTCAGCAGATAGAGTAAAATAGCAAGCAGTGACATTTCTGATTTTTTTTTTCAAACATTTAAAGGTCAGGGGTTTTACATGCTTTGAAAGCTTGACATCTCCCCTTGACAACTATCAAGATGTTCCCTTGACTGCAGCTTTTACAATTCTGTTGACAGTTCAAAAGGTTTTTGAAATAACTCCACAGAGGCCAATATTTTGTCACCAAGTTACCCTCTGTTTACACATGTAAAGTCCTAAACACTGATCCAGATCCCTCAGAGCAGCTCTCAGAGTGTCATGATGTTTGACACTCCTGTTCTTATCTGTCAGCTAGGGCTCCCTGTTTGGACCAGATTAATAGATCCAATCAGGAAACTCATATTCTATGATATCCACCTGGCTGACTTCATGAGAATCACTAGTTGTGTGTGTGTATGTGTGTGTGTGTGTGTCTGTCTGTGTGTGTGTGTGTGTGTCTTTGTTTTAAATAAATTCTTGTATACATTTAACAATCTCAGAGGGCACTTGACCTCTTCCAAAGGCCACCTGATCTTCCCCAATGAAGTCTTAAAACTATATCCAATAGGGAATGTTACCTTTCCAAAAGGGTACCTAAACTTTCCAAGGGTTGGTGCCAGGTTTGGAGATGGAATTTCTAGATTTGTGCCTCACATGCCATTATTATGTTGATAGACAGCCTCTCTGTCTGTGCAGAAGTTTTCCTTCTCTTTCTAAATACATCCTGTGCTCATTCCAGTTCATGATTCAATTGTAAAATTAAACAAAGTACTGCAGATATTGAAAATCTGAAGCAAAACAGAAATTGCTGGGGAAGCTCAGCAGGTTTGGCAGTATCTGTGGAAAGAAAGCAGAGTCAACATTTTGAGTCCAGTAACCCTCTACAGAACATTCTGAAAAAGATTCCCTGAACTTGAAACTTTAACTCTGCTTTGTCTCCATAGATGCTGCCTGACCTGCTGAGTTTCTCCAGCAATTTCTGTTTTTGTTCTTGACTCTAAAAGCCTTTTTCAATATCTGTCACCTACACGGAACTCCATTTTCCAGTGAAGTGTAGGTTAGATTTGCCTGCTGACATACAATTGATGTTTTCATTATGTTGCTTCAAGAGACAGTGCATATCAGATGTACAAGGAACTAGAGGCTAGTTTATTGTCTGTGCTTATGATGCGCCAAAACAAAGTAAATATAATATCTGCGATTCTGGGCAGCTGTCACCCAAACTTACTCTTACTTTCTTTCTTCAGTTGGCTATACAATGAATGATTTGATTTTTGAATGGGATGCAGATAAACCAGTGCAAACTGCAGATGGACTAACCTTACCACAATTTGTCCTGAAAGAAGAGAAAGATCTACGCTACTGTACAAAACATTACAATACAGGTATGATCATAGCTTCACCTAGTGAAAAGGGCATGCAAGTATGCAGTGTTGAAGTTAGATGTGTTCTGTCACTCATCAACTTGCAATAGAAGTATGTAAAAAAATTAAGGGTTATCTTCTGGGAACTGGTCTTGAGTTTTTTTAGTTAATCAGACCTTAGCTAAGAAGAGTCTGCAACAAAGTTGCTTCTTGTTCTGCCCCTAATTTGGAATTAAATTGATAACAAATTTGCCACAAAGTTGTGAGCTCAGAGCCTAACCCAGTGTTATGGAAAAATACCACAAAGTCAGAGATGGTTAGAGACAAAAATGTATGCATGCAAGATAAACATTCAAGTTCCCAATTCTCTGTCTCAAAGCCTCTCTCCCTCTCAGAGTTTCTATAGTCGCTCTCTGAAGTCCCTAATCCTCTCTTCCTCTAAGATCAGATATAGCAAGTAAGATTTTATTTGTACAAAAATTCTAAAAGAGCAACTACATAGCTGATTTCAAAACATTCTCAGTCTTATCCTGTCTGTATCACTCCTGGTCTCACCATTGTCACAGAATCACAGAATTGTGTCAGTGTAGATGGAGGTGATTCAGCCCATCATTTCTGCACTGGCTCTCTGAGTATCTTTATTGACTGCCAATCTCCTGCCTTTTCCCCATACACCTGCACAGTGTTTCTAATTAAATAATCATCCAACGCACTTTGAATGCCTTCATTGAACCTGCCTCCACCACATTTCCAGGCAGAGCATTCCATATCATAACTACTTCGCTGTGCAATAACGCTTTTTTCTCTCCTTGCATTTGCTTCTTTTTCAAAACACTTTAAAACTGACCCCTGCACATTCACCTGCTAATGTAGTATACTGTATCCGCTGTTCCCGTTGTGGCCTCCTCTACATTGGGGAAACCAAGCGGAGGCTTGGTGACCGCTTTGTGGAACACCTACACTCGGTTCGCAACAAACAACTGCACCTCCCACTCGCGAACCATTTCAACTCCCCTTCCCACTCCTTAGACGACATGTCCATCCTGGGCCTCCTGCAGTGCCACAACGATGCCACCCGAAGGTTGCAGGAACAGCATCACATATTTCACTTGGGAACCCTGCAGCCCAATGGTATCAATGTGGACTTCACAAGCTTCAAAATCTCCCTTCCTCCGACCGCATCCCAAAACCAGCCCAGCTCGTACCCGCCTCCCTAACCTGTCCTCCCACTTATCCACTCCTCCCACCTCAAGCCCCACCTCCATCTCCTACATACTAGCCTCATCCCGCCTCTTTGACCTGTCCGTCCTCCCTGGACTGACCTATCCCCTCCCTAATTCCCCACCTACACTCACCTTTTCTGGCTCCAACCCCGCCCCCTTGACCTGTCTGTCTCCTCCACCTATCTTCTCCTTTGTCCATCTTCTATCCGCCTCCCCCTTTCTCCCTATTTATTTCAGAATCCCCTTCCCCTCCCCCAGTTCTGAAGAAGGGTCTCGACCCAAAACATCAGCTTTCCTGCTCCTCTGATGCTGCTTGGCCTGCTGTGTTCATCCAGCTCTACACTTTGTTGTCTCAGATTTTCCAGCATCGGCAGTTCCTACTATCTCTTAAAACTGACCCCTCTAGTTCTCAACTCATCTTTGAGTAGGAATAGATTCTCCCTATCTGCTCTATCCAGACTCTTTCTGACTTTGAAAACCTTTATCAAATCTCCTGTCAGCCTGTTCCTCTCTAAGTAGCACAGTCCTAACCTCTCACCTATCCTGACAACCAACTGTAGTGCCTCATCCTTGGAGCTATTCTGGTAAATCTCTTAGAAACCTAAAATCAGAGAATCATCGAATTTTACAGTACAGAAGGAGGCCATTCGACCCATCGTGTCTGTACTACTTCCTGAAAGAGCTACCTAGCTAGTCCCACTGTCCCTATTTCCACATCCCAGTAGCTTCATCACTTTCAAATACATATCCAGTTCTCTTTTGAAACCTTGTATGGAATCCGCTTCCGTCATTCTCCCGAGTAGGGCATTCCAAATCCTAAGAACTCTCCGAGGAAAGAAGTTTCTCATCTCACCCCTGGCTCTATTGCTGAAAATCTTGAAATTTTGACCCTTATTAACTGACCAAATTCTTCTGCAGTCTCTCAAATGTATTTACAACCTTTCTATAATGTGGTGCCCAGAACTGTACACAATATCTAGCTGAGGTCTAACCAACACCCCATATAAGTCATGGATGTGGGGAGTTGCTGGCCAGGTATTGCCCATCTCTATTTGTCAGGGGGCAATTAAGGGTCCATCTTACTGGGTCTGGAGTCACATGTAAGCCAGACCAGGTAAGGATGCCACATTTTTTTGCTGAAAGGGAACAACAATCAACAGCAGTTACATGGTCACCATTAGGTAGCTTTTTAATTGTAAATTTTCTTTTTCTTCCCAATTCAAGTTGTGGGATTTGAATCCCTGTCCTCAGGGCATGAGCCTAGGGTTCTTGATAATTAGCCCAATGACATTATCACTACACCACTACCTCTTCTTAAGTTTATCCTTGTTCTTGTACTCAATGTCCCAATAGTCTATAATTTTATATGCTTTTTATCTGCTCTCTCTACCTGTCCTCCCACCTTTGAGGATTTATGTATATTGTCTCACTGCTCCTATACATCTTTAGACTAGAACTGTTTATTTTACACTACGTTTCATGGTCTTTGCACTGAATTGTACAGACATGTATGTAAGGCATGATATTCAATGATCTGCAGTTATCACAATCTGATACTTACGTTAGCTCACATAACATAAATGTGCGATGTGTGTCATGTAGTACTGAAGAGGTCAAATAAATTTTATTACAGCTCCTGATATTTAGGTATACACATTACAATCATAGGCACTTGTACATCTGGGCTCAAGCTCAGCTAATTTCCATCTAAACAATTCTTTCTAGTTTCTCCACCATTGATCTCAAACTGTCTGGTCTTCTGGAAAACACTTCTTGTTCTATTCTCACTAAAAAAAAATTGAGTTAGTTAACTTAAGCTGCATTAACTCCTTCATTCTCCACATCACCCAGGAGCCAAGCAAATAAACAAGACATCTTTGTCTGATGATGGGATATCAGAATTTCAATGGCACTGTAGAAAACAGGAGGGATTCTGGTCTCTTGACCAATTTTCCTTCCTCAACTGGACATTAATCTCTGCAGAGGGAACTACAGGACAAGGTTAAGAAATGTTGAATTAGGGGGAAAGTAGGAAATTAGGATGAAAAACAATTGCAATAATGGAGACAGAGTCAGGGTTAAAATTAAGTTAGGAAGCAATGTTGCATATTTGGATTCCCTCAAATATGGAAGACGCACTGGTTCCAACTGAGGTATCTACCATGACTGAAGTTGATAATGTATATCAAGAAAGGCTGTTTCATCCAATGGGGGATTCTAGCAGAACATATCATAACTTGGAAGTTCAAATCAGGTCATCAGTTTGGTAGCAAAAAACGCATAATTGTGTTGAGGATAGGTGACATCTGGAACTCTTCCCAACACTTACCACCAGGCCACTCAAAATAACTGTTGATGTTGGCAATCAAATTGAAAATAAAAAAATTAAAATTTTGTAAGCAAGAGTATTCAGGGAATGGAAACAAATGTAGGCTAATAGAGTTAAGACAGGTTAATGAGCTGTGGTTTGATAGAATGGGTTGAAAGGTTGAATAGTGTACATCAATTCTAAAGTACCTAAATAGAGTGCAATGATTGAAGGCAGTTTATCAGTATGGTTTGAAATGGATAGTAATGTTCTCCAGAGGGAGTTTATAAGAATGATTCCAGAGATGAAGGGCTTGTCATATGAGGAACATTTGAGCACTCTTGGTCTGTGTCTGATGGAGTTCAGAGGGATCAGGAGGGATCTGATTAAAACTTACAGAAAACTGAGAGGCCTGGATAGGGCGGATGTGGATAAGGAGAGCCTAGCACTCAAGGGCACAGCCTCAGAGTGAAGGCACCACCCTTTAGAACTAAAATGAGGAGGAATTCCTTCTGCCAGAGGGTAATGAATCTATGGAAATTATTGGAGGCCAAGTCATTGAGTGTATTCAAGACAGAGATAGATAGGTTCTTGATTGGTAAGGTGATCAAGGTTTACAGGAAGAAGGCAGTAGAATAGAGTTGAGAAACAATTCAGTCATGATTGAATAGCAGAGCAGATGTGATGGGGTGAGTGGCCTAATTCTGCTCTGATATCATGGTCTTATGATCTTATGGTCTTATGGTCTTCTACATTGGGTGTTCTGATAACTTATGCTTACTGTGTTAAGTGTTAAGAGGAAGTTGGTGTTCACAGATTTTTTTTCAAAAATCTTTGTTTAGTAGACAAAAATATCAAAAGAATCTTGAGTATGTTCCAGCAGCCCCATATGGTTTAAATCAAGATATATTTTACAACCAAGATATGCCAGTTTTAAATTATTTAATGTGCAGTCCACAAAACCATCAGTTAGTATACATTTCCTCACAAGAATTTCAGCTGTGCATCATTATTGATGTTACTGGCTGCAATATCATTGTATACTGGGACCTTTTCAATAATGTACAAAGCTCTTAGCTAATAAATCTGGCATTTCATAACTCATTCTAACTACCAACATAGCAAACCTTACTAATATCCCACTATCCTCATTAAAACGTGCATTACCTCTATATGCGGCACTGCCAACATTCATTCTGAGATAAAAACTTTTCAGTTGGCCTATATGTATTAATTTTATGACTTATTTTGGATATTTAAAGTCACTGTCAATGGATAGATGCATTTTTTTCTCCTTCAAACATTCACATCTTCCAATCCGAATGTGATACTCATTAGTGTTATATTACCGGTTCATTTTCAGTGCTTTTCATTACAAGGGTAACAGAATGCGCTGGTTATATTGCTAGCTGGTAATTTAGAGGCTTGATTAATAATCCTGTTGAGTGTGATTTTAATTCCAAAATGACAGTTGTAATTCAGTTCAATAAAACTCTTTTTGTAACGGTTACCATTGAGAGCTAAAGTCTGTCCAATGATGCTTGTGTTGCTGAGGATGAAAGTAGGATATGAGTGACCAAGGTGGGGTTTTACCAATTTGTTATGATCAATGTCACAGAGACTAACCTATTATGCACAGTATTTTATCTCTTTATTTGGTGGTTGAATTTCACCAGATGCGATTGTCGGATTTGCATCCACATGCCGACAGCATTAGCTCAGGTTTCCGAATTACTCACCTAGTGCCATTTCCACCATGTTATTGTCTCTACTCGTGCTAATATCATTTAATTTGGACAATTTGGCATCATCAAAAAAAATGAGTGTGCCTTCCGCATTGCTGCACTTCAGTAAAGTTACACAGGTACCAGTTTAAGAAACATTTAGAGAGGTACATGGATGGGGTAACTACGTTGGGGTATGGACCAAACACAGGCAAATGAGACTATTTAAATTTTGAAAACTGAACAGCATGGACAAGTCAGGCTGAAGGACCTGTTTCCATTCTATAGACCTCTATGACTTTATGACTCTGGGTACCAGTTTATAGGAAATCGCCCCGATGCAATTGCATGCATTGTAATCTGTTGAAGCATGGAAAACGATGTTTGAAGCACAACATACACAAGATCTAACATATTTGGCCTTCTTTTCTTGTGCTCCATTATATTTTTTGCAGGAAAATTCACATGTATTGAAGTAAGGTTCCATCTTGAGAGACAAATGGGCTATTACTTAATTCAGATGTACATTCCAAGTCTTCTAATTGTGATTCTATCCTGGGTATCATTTTGGATAAACATGGATGCAGCCCCTGCTAGAGTAGCCTTAGGAATCACAACAGTGCTCACCATGACGACACAAAGTTCTGGATCTCGAGCTTCGTTGCCTAAGGTAGGAAGTTGAACTATTTGCTTGGAATTAATTGATCACCAACTCTGTAATGAATAGACACTGAGACACCTGAAGCCTGTATGTCCATTATCTAAGATTGTTCCCTTGTCAAAGTCCCAATCTTGACTGTTCACTAATCAGAAGCATGTACCCCTCAATGAGCTAAGATGAGGATTAAGAGCATGATGTAGACTATTAGCTGGACCATCTGTTGAGTACCTCTTACCATTTTTATTTCCTTTGTAGTAGGCCTGAAACAACAAAAAAGAAAATTATAAAGCAAAGAAAGACCATGAAAAATTATTGGTGAATAAAATCAAGGAAAACCAAAAGAGATAAAGAGCAAGAGGATAACTTAGGAAAAAATCAGAGCTTCTGGTGACTAATAAGGCAACCTGTGTCTGGAGGCAGAGGTTTAAGTTAGATTACTTCGAGAGCATTTTGCAAATATCTTTACAAAGGAGGAATAAACATTTGAAGAAAGCAACCACTAAAAGGTTTGAAGTCTCTGAAAATAGATATCAGACCCAAATTAAATGTATTCCACATTGTTACAAGTGTAAATTTTGAGAAGCCCTGGCCATCACACATAAATATTTATGGCTACATACATAGCCCTGGCTACAAAAATGGTGTCATAGGAATTGAGGACTTATACCAGGTGTTTAAAAAGAAACCAAAAGAACTGTGGTGCTGTAAATCAGAAGCAAACACAGAAATTGCTGGAAAAGCTCAACAGGTCTGGCAGCAACTGTGAAATCAGAGTTAACGTTTCAGGTCCGGTGGCCCTTCCTCCCTCTGTGTTTGTTTTAAAAAGGAAGTTGATCTCCAGTATGGAGTGGCTGTCTTACAAGAAAAGGTTAAAGACATTGAGACTCTACTCACTGGAGTTTAGAAGAATGAGAGGTGATCTTATTGAACCTTATCGGATTCTTAAGGGGCTTAACAGGTTAAATGCTGAGAGGATATTTTCACTCATGGGAGACTCTAAGACCAGAGGGCATAGTCTTTGAAGAAAAAGGCATCAATTTAAGACTGAGATGAGGAGGAATGTTTTCTCTCAGAGGGTTGTGAATCTTTGAAACTCCTTGCCACAGAGAGCTGTAAGTATAAAGCCATTGTGTATATTTAAGGCTGAGATAGATAGATTCTTAATCGGTCAGAGAATCAAGGGTTATGGGAAAAATGCAGGAAAGTGAACATGAGGAAGGTCCAAGATAGTAGGAACTGCAGATGCTGGAGAATCCGAGA